AAAAGTGAGACTATCAGACGTCATGCTACCTGACAGCACAAGTAAGCCCCTGAGAAACCAAAGCTGGCAAACACACAAACAGCCCATGTACAGCATAAACACAAATTCAGCAGGAAAACAGAGGTTAAATACAGGATTTTTAACATCCCATACTCACAGACATAGTTTTGTTCATTGTTTCAGGAGAATTTTGCAGAAAGACTCTGGCATAGCCCATTATTGGCTTTGGAAGAAGCAGACTTCCACTATAGACATCATAAAACCAGACAGCAAAAGCTCAGATGATTTATAATTTCACAGCAACAATCAAAATCAGATTTCATTAATATAAATCACTGCTTTTTTATTTAATATTATTTCTAATAACGTGTTGATTAGAAATAATGTTCCTTGTCAAAGGATGATGAAATTCACGGACTGTCACGTGGATGAAGTTATAAACTTTTCCATAACTACTCATGCAAAATCTGCACAAGTTCAGTGATGGCTAATGGTTGAAGAGGATCCCCAAAGGAGCATGCCAGAATTCTCTCACATAAGACAGAAGAGAACGGGATTGCAGAGCTGAAAGCTGTAGGAAACCAAACAGGTGAGTCTTCCTCTATGTGTGAGGGCTACAGCTACATAAAATCCATGTTTCCTTCGCTCTTTCCCATGTCAAGTCATGATGTGCTCAGTGCAGGTTCTGAGAGTTTAAGTCAATACATCACCCTTTTTATTGATTTTATTTTTAGGCTGTTGTGAAAGGTTGTAATAAAGAGCAAAAAGATTTGATATCATTCAGACTCTTATGCTAAACTTGCAATAATGGCAAGATAGCCTCACTAGAAATAATATTAGACTTTTTTCTAAGCATTTTTAGGATGAGAATTTTAACCACAGAAACACTTGATGTTTAAAATGAGACTTTCTCCCAAGCTGTTATATACAATTATAACCAAGAGATGGCATCTGCAAGGGGAGAAGCAATTTAAGACATTAAAATATCATTTTAGTTTTCAAACATTTTTGTCTGCCCCCCTATACAGTACACCTTTTTCACTTCCAACATTGTTATAATAATGGATGTGTACTGAGGTATCTAACAAGCAATCACATGAGAGAAAATATTTACTCAACAGTAGGTGGAAAGTTTTCTCAGCAAGTTTCAAAGACACAGAAAAAGGGATGGGAGTATTTTGCTTTCATGTAAAAGGTCATCCACTGCTCTGTTTCATATCTCACTAGCAGTTTATTTAGCATACCCTTTGTCCCTGAAACAATTATATCTCAAACTAGAAGTTGCTGAAGACACAGTCTGATAAAATGTCAGCCAGACTCGTGCATATCATAGCCAGGCAAGTGAGCCACAGATACCATCAGCAAGAATCTGGACAGGACAGACAAAGAATTCAGAAAATTTAGAGATGAAAAATATGCACATTATCTCATCAGAGCAATCACTTCTGAATTTGGCCACTGAACACTGCTTCCTCAGTCTCTTTGTCCATGCTGGTGTGTTTTCCATGGTTTGCCTACTAACATCCTGCTCAAGTTCTACCAGATGACAGCTTTTGCATTACTTGCCGAAATACACTGGCTATGACTAAGATTTATTTTTCACATAGAAGAAATGAGTCTCATATATCCTTACCTATCCTTAGCTGTCTGTGCATCTATGCAGGACTTCTCCATTAAAGGAAAGCACTTCTTGTGAGCATAGCTCAGTTGAGGAACAAATAAAGCTGCATGTATGATGTCGTTTCAGGCATTTGATAGCCAAGGAGAATTGCTAGCACAGTCTGCATGCATTGTAGGCTTTCTGGTTCAGATGAGTTGCTCCTGTGTGCCTGATTGTCCGTATAAGTGAAGTGCAGTACAATGTAACCTGGCAGAAAAGGACCTAGGGGTAATGGGCAATAGCTGGTTGAACATGATCCAGCAGTGCTCTTGGGTGGCCAAGAAGGCCAGTGGCATCCTGGCTTGTGTCTGAAATGTGTTGTCAACAGGATCAATGAAGTGATCGTCTCCTTGTGCTTGGCACCGGTGAGGCCGCACCTCAAATTCTATGTTCACTGTTCACCTTTAGGCCCCTTGCTACAAGAAAGACACCAAGGTCCCGGAGTGTGTCCAAAGGAGGACAAGGAAGCTGATGAGGGGTCTGGAGCATGAGTCTTACAATGAGTGACTGATAGAACTGGGATTATTTGGTCTACAGAAGAGAAGGCCCAAGGACAACCTTATAGCTCTCTACAATTCCCAGAAAGGAGGTTGTATTGAGGTGGACATCGGTCTCTTCTCCCAAACAAGAGACAGGACAAGAGGAAATGGCCACTGTCCCTGGAGGTATTAAAAGACTTGTAGATATGGTACTTAGGGACATGGTTCAGTGGTACATTTGGCAGTGCTAGATTAATGATTGGACCTGATGATCATTAGAGGTCTCTTCCAACCTAAACGATTCTCATTCTATGATTCTAAGATTTGCTTGCCTGTGGTGCTGGAGACCCACCCGCACCCAGGAGTGCCAGGAGGCCCAGAGTTTTCATACACTGAACAGACCTGCTTCCTGCTGGCCCTGCTCACAGTATGAGGAGGACATGCAAGGGTGGCTGCAAGCTGCAATCCATGTCACAGTGCAGCAGAGCATAAGGCTGTGTGGCATCAAAGCCTCCAGCAGCAAGGGCAACTGTGGAGACAACTGAAATTTCCCAGCAGACCAGGCTCACCTTCCTGCCTCCAGCAAGCCGAAGCCAGAATGCAGCTCTTCACCCTAAGAGATTAATCAGTGACCTACACAAAATGCAATTTCTGTTGAATCTCATTGAATTAAAGCAATCCCATATGACCTGAAAATTTTCAAATTTTTTTTTATCCTTAATGTTCAGACAGATAATGGAATTACAAAGATGATATTTCAAGTGAAGTAGAACAGCAGACAGAACATACTAAGAACTTCTTTCCTCCCCTGCACTTGTGATACTTGGCTCACACCTACAAATGGTGAAGAGCAAATCAGATATACAAATATGCATACTCAGAATTTGCATTTACATTGCCATGCTTCTATTCACAGCTATGGCGATCCTATTCAGGTGGCCAGTTGGATTTTGAGGTGATTCATTATTCACAGAATTCCAGGAACTACCACAGAAAATGGAACATGCATTTTATATATTCAGATATGGGCATGCAATTCCAAAAGTCTGTGTCTGTATGACCTGCCAGTGTCTGTATGTGTGACTAACAATGCTTACCATTGTATACCCTTATACCTATAAGCCTACAGCTTAAATTGCAGGACTATTCAGGACTTTGAGAAGGCTTGGGGGAAGCACTGCTGGTGCAATCATGTATTTCATTTCCGGCATGCAAAATTGTCTATCTGCAGTGGCAAACACAGTAGCCCACAGGCTAAGACTACCAATACTCAGCATTTTTTTGGTAATTTCTATCAGTTATTTTGCAGCCTTTTGTTTGAATAATTACTATGAAGTCTAAGGACATTTGTGTTTCTTATATGTGTCCAGACAGCACAAATGATTTTTCTTTTAAATGCCCACAGTTTGGTTATGTTTCACTTTTGTTTAGGAATGCAGAGTGCTTGTGTTTAGATTTATCAAGAAAGAAGATAGCGAATGTCAAACAAATCTATACCTGAAAGGAAATAAAGCAAATAAGTCAAAATGCTTGTTTAAAAAGTTACAAAATATGACAGCATTAATGGCACTTAAAGCTCTAAGCACTTATAAGATTACCACCACATTTTTCTCAACCTCTTTTCCTAAAATTCTTCTTCATTTTTTTTTCTTTGTTTTTTGTTTTTTTTTGGGGGGGGGGGGGGGGGGGGGGGGGCGGAATTTTATGTCTGCAGCTCATGTCTAAACCCAAACCTAGCAAAGGGGGCATAGAGCCCTGAGATTCTATGGTTTCCCTGGCCCTCATTTGAATAATGTATATGCTCTTATGTCTATTTTTAAAAATTCAGATTCAGCTACAGAGAACAGCAGTTTGCTGACATGCAAAAGCTATAGCTTTCTTTCCGTCTTTGTAGTCTTACAGCATTAAAATTGAAGTTTATTTCAGTGGTAGAAAGTATGAAAGAGAAATTCCTTTTTTAAAAAAAGTAGTTTGCCCACTGTTTTATACACCTATCCAAATATCGGTAAATTAATATTTCTCTTCTTTTAAACAACATAGCTCTAGATGTTGCAATTTCTTCATATGCAAGTTTACACTGGATATTTCCTATAGGACAAAAAGATCCATTTGTTTCTTTTCTTTCCTTTTTTTTTTTTTTTCTTTTTTTTTCTTTTTTTTTTTTTTTTTAATCACTGCATCACTGGTTAAGATAAATACCCACAGAGTTGTTTGTTTTGTTTTGTTTTGTTTTCCTTTTTTAATGAAAAAAGTAATCTGACCCTTAAATGTGTCCGTGTTGATTTTTCAAACCAGCATCCAGCTGGTGGCTGCGTCCATTGACATTCTTTTGGAGTTTAGAAAGATAATGCATCTGGTTCAAAAATGGAAAAAAAATCTAGCTTGGATCACGTGCCAAAACGTAAACTAAGCCTTACTGAAAGTTTCTAGTTTGCTCCAATTATTCCTCCTCTTTTTAACCACCAGGGGAAGCCTTAATGAATACATACTCCATTACAAAGACACGTTCCTTTTCATCCCTTTCAAAGGCTCTTCTTATGTAACTACCTTTGTCTAATATTATGCTGTGGTCATAGCACTCTGGTGGCATTGCCATAGTTCTGTCTCTTCCTCTGTGTCTTGCCCTGGTAGTCTTATACAGGCTGAAATTTCCATGTGCGTAGCTTTCTGTTGCCATTCTTCAGTGCTGTCTTCCTGATTTGTTTTGGCAGAGCAAGCTTGAGTCTTTATGGCACAGTGAAATATTCTTCGATGCTATATAATTCAGACTGAATAAGGAGTCTGTATAAGGCACGTGTCTCAATATATATACGTATATAAAAACACTAACATTGTTAATTCAAGTCAAGCATCTTTTACATTTAATTTCTGTCTTCAAGTAATGCTTTGTTTTCATGTTCCCTTTCTTTGGTTTCAGTGGGGATCACTCCATTCTCCAGGTCTGAGTGCTGCTGGATGCAGTTGGTCAGGACTGTAGTGCTAGAAGAGTTCTCAGAATTACACATCTTCTCAGTCTCTTCTTCCTTTCTTTCTTCATCCAAGGAGTAGTTTCGGAAGGTCTCATAAATTTTACGCACATCCTCAGGGATGGTCTTTTTGATGTCTTTGTTTTTCCTTTTGGTCATCTTAGCAGATGATCCAAATTTGTTAATGATGTTGTCCTCAGATGCCCCTTGCCCATGCTTGTGGAGTTGATCGGACCCTTTAAGGCGTAGGTTGTTAGGCCTGTTGTTGATGCTTTCCTGAGATGAGGCCTTGAAGCGTCCTGTTTCCAAGGCAGTGAAGACTGAGCGCTTCTCTGGAGACAGCATATCTAAGGAATGGGCTCGCTGGTCCAAGCCCAGGCGTCGGCGCTCCATGCTCCGGATGGTGGCTGCCCTCTGAAGTTTGTCATGGATCTCCACGCTGAGCCGCCGCCGTGTCTCCCTGAACTCAGCTGTCACATTTGCTTTCCACTCAGCTGCATGGGCTTTTATTTCTCCAACCTTCACCACAAGAAAAGGAAAGAATAAAAACAAAACAAAAATAAAATGGAGTGACATTCATTTCTATTGAACAGTAGCACAAGAATGTTTTGTATCTGGCATAGAATTGGAGACAAGTTTCAACTCCAAAGCATACATCTGGGCCCAGTTTTCATCAGCACAGTGTTTATACTAAGACAGGCTTTAAAATTACCAACCAGTGACTAGTAAATGGCATACGCAGCACATCACTGGGCTGCCTGTTTCATATTTTGCTATCCTGCACATTTTATAGCTGTTTTACTTGGGGAGAGCTCTTCATGCTAATCCCTCCCTGGCTAAGAACAAAATTCCTAACTTATAATGTCAGCAGTAGATGGTTAGGAGAAGGCAGAATTATTCACATATAGTTACAGTAATACGCCTCAGAACATTATAGCACCCAATATAGCAGTACAGTAATGTACTTTCCCATACTGCTCATGGTCCAGTCCCACTGAACGTTCTGTTCCTTGCCACAAAGCAAATAATTTTGAGAGTATCTATTGGATGACTTCAAGTACTCCAAAATCCTTCTGATACATACAGTCTAGGGTAATTTATATTGGACAATTCTGGCTGACTCTAATGGAGGTGTACATTGCATAACTGTTCAAATACTAGCACCACATGCCATCAATAAGCGTGCTGATTCATGAAGAAATTTTCAAAACACATCAGTGTTCTGTGTGAGAACCATCAGCATGTCTTTAAATGTCTCACTGCTGTTCCATTTCACTGCTTTGCACCTGAGAGCACAATAATGACTAAGAGTAAAGCACTGACATGTATTAAACAAGTACTTCTTCGGAAAAGGGAGGGAAAAAAAGATAAATGATCAAGAAATATCTCTTTCAATACAGGCCTTTTCTAAAGTTCAGCTAAAGAAGAATAATTTCAGGAGTATGATGTCTGCAGCTGCCAAGGTAAAGGGTGCCATGGCCTGAACTCAGTTTCTCCATTCAGTAGTCCTCAGAGTATTATCTTTGGTTCCTCAAGCCAGATGAAATGGTCTCTACTTAGAACTGGATTAACTGTGGTAGCAGGTATCTCATATCCACCCTGAGAGCTCAGACTCCCACCTTTGGTTGCCACAGCCAAGCACTGCAGCTCTCTTGCTGCTCATCAGTCTGACAGCTCTTTGTGAATCCTTTTTTATTCATGAGGATACACTGAGTCTCAGGCGGCACAACTGCCTTCATAAATGATAAATAACTTTAACTCTGCCAAATTTTGGTTATTCTTGCTCTTTGGCTAACTCTGCCAGTTAGCTTTGCTGTGGAATACAGGAAGAGATTGCATTAAAATTTGAAATCATATCAACCCTCTGTCAACAGGCTTCAGGTTTGGAGGTATGATAATTACCTTTCAATACTCTTATTCTGAGCATTAGCAATATTATCTTTGGAACATGGAGGACATGATCAGAGTGAAATGAGCCACATTTTCCCTGATGTTGACAACTCAATGTCTTAAATTTTAATAATGCAGTACTCAATAAAGGACCTAAATCTAAACCTTTATTCAGAACCATATTCTTTGACATAGAGAATGTGGGAGAAGTCAGTATAGAGCATGAATTAAAAGCAAATTATTGTTTAATTAACAGAGCCAACTAATGTCTTAAAATCCACACACCTCTAATTTTAGAGAGAACACTTGAAATTTTTATCACAGTTTTGTAACTCGCTTCAGAGTGAAGGCAGGCCTCTCTTCTTCGTAAATGCAGACCTACTGGTGTGTTCTATGTATTTAGTAATACTGACAGAGGTGTAACAATCTAGCTTTGTTCAGTTGCTTTTTTCCACACTTTGTGAAGGAGATAAAGATCAGAGCTAAGAGAACACAAAAGGCTGCCAGTGGAGGCTATTGAGCACTAGTCAAGCAGGGGAGTATCCTTTTATAGACAAAAAGGAATCAGGCAATTAGAGCTCTCTTATAAAATGACAAATCACTGTGATATTAGTCATACCTCTTCTTTTGTCTTCTTGGACAGGACCCTTAACCAGTCTCCAATCATACTCAAAACAGCAGCAAAATAGGCAAGGCCAACAAGGATCCAGAACCACACTAAAGGTTTATACCACTCTCGGTAATGGATGTCAGCATTTCCTCCTGAAATAAGCATAAACTTGTCTTTAGGAAACATATGATGCCAAAATTGACTACAAAATTTCTGCAATTCTGAGAAATTTCTGAAAATATTTCTTAATTCTTGCCAACACCACTGTACTTCTAATAAAAGATAAGAGATCTGTCAGGTGGGAGGAACAGACTGTTTTTAATTTAAGACTAGGAAGTTACATACTGCTCTACTGCTATGTGATCTGTCAGAGCACCTAGTAAACCTCTTTCCTTATATTGCTGAGACAATTCAGAAGCAAGTCTCAAATTCCTGCTTTGATAACACATGCAACAGCACAAATACATTCTCAAGAAAAAATGTATTACAACTTGTCTTCCTTATTCTGAACTACCTGCAGCCTGGTAGTTTGGAGACTTCACAGTTCAACCTTCTCAAATGATATTTTCCAGATTCTTTGGCTTTAAATAAAAGATTCAGAGATTTCTGTGTAGGAGACAGAAAAGTAACTTTCTCTACCAAATCAGGATATCTGACAGGAAATCAAATCTATATCAGTTCTGATAATAAGGATATGCTGTCTGCTTGGATGTAAGTTATAGGGATGAATTCTCTGGCCAGCAACTCTAGAGGAGATATGAGTCAAATGAAGCAACAAATATCACAAACAGTTGAGGATGGAAGGGACCTCTGGAGGTCATCCAAGCCAACCACATTGCTCAATCAGTTTTTCCTACAGAAGATTGTCTTGGTTAGAAGGGAACCAGACACCAACTTTTATCTTCATATGGCACTGAAAAGCTTTTAGGATTTTCCTTCAGTAAAGTACTCCAACAATACAGGTCAGAGTTTCCACCTGAGCATTTTGCAATCATTTCAGATTTCAGTTCTATAAGCATTTTAATTTTATCCAGACTGAGCACAAGTGTGTGTAAAGCAGCTGAACATTCTCAAGAAAGCTCAGATATTTGAGTACTGGCAGGGACCCAAATATGTTTTTGATGCTGATCTCTCCTCATACACTATATGAATCACTCTCTTTTTCTAGTCTTTGAGAGTGTAAAACAATAGTAGATAGGGGCTGCTGTTGCTATGGTACAATGGGGCTATTCTAATCACACACGTCCCAGCAGAAGCTTGTTATGGAGCAGATTGTCTGGGTCTGTCTTACAGACTAATGAGCCAAGTGAGAAAATATGAGACCACTTTCTTCAGCCTATAAAATATTCTGGTTTGGTTTTGGTTTTTTTTTTTTCAGACTACAGCTATAATTGTATTTCCAGCAGTAGAACAAAAACTTTCCCAGTTTGCCAAGAATTGAGACATATTTTAGTGGAATAAATCAGTGTAGCTTCACTGATGCTGCTTTACCCAATACCGTATAACATTTTCTCTTTGATATTGAAGGGATAGAGATACGGGGATGAAAGTAACAGAAAATAAAAGTAACAGAAAATCTTTCTCAAAACCAGCAATGAAACCCAGATTTCCTGGTGATCACCTGCCTTAAGCTCTTATCATGAGATCATCTTTGAAGTTTTCTCATTCAGGGTTTCCATTTTTGAAAAATTCTGGTTAATAACCACCCAGCCATGGATTATATTGTCTTGATTATATTGAATATACAGCAATTTAAAATTTAGTACTCTGTTGATTTTTTACAAATATATTATTCAAAAAAACACTATCAATGTGTACATGCCTAAGAAAAATATTGTTAATTATACTGTGTTTTGATACCACAAAGCCAGAATACCAGTGAGGTTCTCTTCACACTTAAGTGGTTAAAGAGGACTGAGTTCATACAGTTACTTTCAAATCTGGATTTTTTTCATATCTGGGGCTTTGTTCAGTGCCAATTTTTCCTCAGTAGTTCATGTCTTCTATACCACTATGTCAGAAATAAAAGAGGGTCAGAGTGTTATCTACAAAAAGACTGTATTTGCTGTTTAGCAAAGAAAACTTTACATATTCTTGTTTCTGCCTTTGATCTTTTGCTCATTCATATTTCACTGATGTTTAGGAAATAACAAAACAGAAGCATTATATGTCTGTGCATCTTAATGCTATAATTAGTATCACTAATAATCCAATAATCACTAGTAATCCAATAGTGGCGAAAGAAAGCTCATTTATTTTAACCACTTTTTCTTAGCAGAATAATAGAGCAAAATAAATTCTCTCATCTCTGTAACCAACAATCCTTACTCTCTCTTTGGTAAGGATGGGTATTTATAGTTTTAGTTAGTACTGTATTCATCTGAGAGAATAACTTCCTAGCACTGAGCTGCACATGCTATTAGACCTTCCTTGATGTAACAGGGCAGCTGCAATGTCAAAATTCCTGCCAAGGCTAGAGAAGAAAATCCAGCTTCTGAAATGCTGCAGATTCTGCAAAAGAAGAATTTAGCAGCTCTCTACTGTGTCAGACCAGACATTTTCCAGCCTTATAGCTCAGCTCTACTTTGTAAAGCTTTGTCCATCCATCATTTTGGCTATATGCTTCAGCAGGCAGCCTCAGCTTGAGACCTAATGGACTAATACAAATTTTGAATTCAATAGGAAAGTCATTTGACTTGTGCATAATTCATTGCATGATAAGGGGTAATCAGGACTTCCCAGACTCCTGCTATCTACACTGCTGAAAGCTTGCACTCTGCAGATGGCAATGTATCTGACTCTTAAACCTGTCTGGAGTTCTCCATGTTATTGTACAATAACCCCAACAGAAATACCTGGCTTCATTTCTCTGGATATAATAAATTGTAAAAACCTTCCTCTCCTTACCAAAAAATAAATTCTAAGAGCCAAGGCCCTCATGCGTACAATCTAGGCTCAGTGCTGCTCACCTGCTACAAAGTCACCAAAACCAACAGTAGTCAGAGTGACAACCACAAAGTAGATGGACTCCAAGGCTGTCCACCCCTCGATGTGTTTGAAGATAACAGCGGGAATGGTCACAAAGACAATGCAGCCAGCCAGGATGAAGAGGATGGTAGAGATCACCCGGATCTTTGTTTGGCTCACTTGTTTTTTCTAGAGAATGGACAAAACAAAGGGAAAAAAAAAAGTATGTTATTGGAACTGTATAGTTTACATTATGAATGGCAGATGGATCACGCTGATATCATCTGTATTTCAATTTCTGTCATTTGTGAGCTTATTAAGTAGAACCCAACCCTTCCTCTCACTTGGTGAGAACCATCTCTGGAGAACAGTGAACTACTATGGTCTGGCCACAGAAAAACGGTGATTTCCCTTTTCCTAGATAGTCACTAATCTGTGACAAACATATCATGGTCCAGTACACTCCAGTTCGAGTTCAAAGTATAAAAGAAGGTGTGCATTCACACCACCCAAGATATAAGTCCACACAGCCTCACCAGCCCTGAGTGCTCAATGAGGAATACCAAGACTAAAATGAAAATAAACATTTTTTTTTCTCAAAGAAGAAGGGTGAAAAAAAGCTATTTTATTTACTAATAATTCATGCTTTGGGTTTTGCTACTTTATTTACAAATAGATCATGTAAAAGGCTAAGCTTTCTCTGGAATTCCAGCTTGCTTTCTCAATTATGAAGGTATAATATAGCTATTTTTGGATTTCAGGACTTCCCAGTTCACACCAAAAATACAGGCTTTATGTCAAATACCAAATAACCTGAAATAAAATTACCTACACAAAGCTCTTGAACAAATACTGAGCATGTTACTGGATGCTATAAACTGAATACAAATACAAGCAGTGTAAGTGCAGCATTTTACACTCCTAGATCATATAAACTCTCACTTCATTTAGCATAAACTTGGATTTTGTTTCCAGTAACTCTGATATAAGTCCAGATTAACACAACCAATTCTAACAGATTTATTCCAGATTTTCTGTGCCATACTTAAAGGAATTCAGAATTTAATAAAGTTTCATGAGAAAGATGAAATCTAGTTAAAAAACCAACTTATTATGGATTAATTAAAGTGACAGTATCAATTCTGTATCTGACCTGGAAAAGGACTGTGGAGTTCAGCATGAGTTATGTAATGCCAGTAATAGAAAAAAGAGTGGAAGAAATGATGTATAAATCTCTACCAGATATTCAGGACCACTTGTTCCTGAGCTATGAATTCAGTCAAAGGTGTGGGTTTGTATGCTTTTTTTTGTGGGTTTTTTTTTTATTTTTTTTATTTTTTTATTTTTTTAATGTAAAAATGGTAACATTGCTAATGAATGTGCATAAAGATCTGACTCATGGCTATTGTGCACCTTGGTCACTTGCACAAAAGCAGAGCAGATGAGGTTCTTTATATTCTTCTTATTCTTCCACTGGTACAAATGAATCAGAAAATTATGGTGAGTAAGGACAACGTTTTCAAAGATACTGAAAAGGGCAGAACAGCATGACTTAGAAACAGAATTACATACTGGAGAATAATGCATGAAATTCAGAATACAAGTGAAAAGGGGAACACTTTGTAATTAAGCATGCATTCTGAAGACATTCAAAGTGTAAATGCTATAGACCCAAAAAACGCTAAGGCACAGATGTTGTTATATTAATCCCATATCAAAAAAGGTTGGTTTGCATGTTTCTCCTATGGATGGATTTGGCCGTGCTATTTCCATACAAAGAACGTCATAGTGTACTGCACATTTTCTGAAGAATAAGGAAATGGCACTTCTACATTCCAGTTTTGGCACAGTTATATTACATTGGACTATATTAGCCTAAACACTGCAGTATTACACTGTAACAAGTCATTATTAAAATATAAGTATATATATACTACATAGATACAGTAAAGGGTGAAAAATCTGAAAATGTTCATGCCTCAGGTTTTGAATTACATAGTCTGAAAAATTAAGCTTGTACTTTCACAAGAAGAGAAAAAAAAACACATGGGTTCTGCAAAAGAAATTTTTTTCCCTCAGGACTGTTCATAGGAACAGACATCACTTGTTGATACCTTTGTTCTTCTTCAAGCCTTACATCTTAATCACTATGATATAGAATTGGTGGTTTTCCACTTGCTTGCTCTTCTGATGAACTTATGACTGCTTGTATTAACTAAACAGTGATCCAACTTTAAAATAAGGGAAACGAACAGTTCAGCTGAGTATGGCCTAAAATGTATTAGATTAGGGCACTCCATAGAAGTGGCACTCCTGCTTTGCTGTAGCTAAGCCAAGCAAAGGTCTCTCATATTGTCTAACCTTCAAGCTGTTATACAAAAGATGAAAATGACCTCCAGATCAGGGTTGAACCATATGCCAATCCTGCACAGTATAAATAGAAATTAAAGGTCAACCACTTTGTCCTAGTTCCTTAATTTCAGTTTCTCAACAACAGCTGCCACAAGCATAGATATAGATATTTAATTCCAGGTGCAGGGTTGCATGCCACACACCCACACTTTCCTCAAGAAACTGGTTTTGATTTTCCCATTCAGCATGCAGCTCTCATGAACCACAGCTTTACGAACCCACTTCTCCCCATGTACCAACACAGGGAATTTTGTCATCTGTGTGATTTTTGTGAATCTTACTCACAGAGCCAATCTGTTTAATATACAGCCTCATACTGAGCATCAAATGTGCCTTTCAAAATTTAATCCATATTGTGTAAGAAATGTCTAGGCTGTCGGTTCTCAGAAGGACTATGCTTTATCAAGACTGCTCCTAGCAAAATTTAAGAAATAGAACTAGTTTGTCAAACTAGCAATGACAATTCCTAACCAATAAGTTAGACATCATAAATACAATTAGCTATTCTTTCTTTTCATTATGTAAGATTATCATCACACGATCTAGAAAGACTTTCTGCCTCTACTTCCTCCTACCCAGCCTTGTCTTACGGATCTCCATAAAAGTACTCCAAATAGACTCTTCAAATACTGCAAGTTTTTGCAGTATTTTGGTATATCTGAAAAAAAGAAAATTAGAACTATCCTATGCTCTTATAGTATATGAATTTCTGAGAACCTTGTGGAAACAATTTTCTACCTGGCTTTACTAGAAAACAAGAATTTTATTTAGGATTCTGACAGAGAAAGAACATTCTACTTTAACAGTACACGCAATCTGGGGCCAAACACCAAAGAACAAATATCTGAGTATCTCCAGGCAGGCTAGCAGAACCTTTGAGCCCATTTTGGGACATAAATGCAGAATTATCTACAGTAGTCAAAATGGAACAGTAAGAGAGCTCTCTCTCTGTGAAAGGTAGTTCATGTCATAGTGGAGTCAGTTAAATGAAAACACTTGTAAAATAGATATTTTCTGCTTTTTTTTTTTTTTAATATTGTTTAATCAATACATTCTTTCCACATTGATGAAACACATATTTGTGAAACATTCATCAAGTGTAAATAAATCAGTGCCTGTTAATGAGAGAGGCTTCAATTTAAATCCAACTAGAGAAAATCTGGAAAAAAAAAAAAAATTTAAAGGAAAAATCTAAGGAAAGAGTGGAGTGTTGTTTTATGATATAACAACCCATAAAGATTCATCTCCATTTACTCATGAAGGTATTCATTTCACTCTTAAGGTAGGTAAGAGCTAAACAAGCAGCATCACAGAATCACGGAATATCCTGAGATATGAGCACTGAGTCCAGCTACTGAATCCACACAGAACAACCCAAAATCCAAACCCTATTTCTGAGCGTGCTGTCCAAAGCTCCCGATACTCTTCCAGCTTTTTGCCATGACCACTGCCCTGCGGAACCTGCTCCAGTGTCCAACAACCCTCTGGTGCAGAACTTTTTCATAACCCCTACCTGACTCTCCCCTGACACAGCTCCATGCTGTTCCCTTGAGTCCTGTCACTGTCAACAGAGAGATCAGTGCTGCTCCTCCACGCCCTGTGATGAGCTGCAAGGCTGCCATGAGGCCTCTCCTCCACTCTGGACTGAACAAACCAACAGGCATCAGCTGCTCCTCATACATCTTGCTCTCTAAATCATTCATCATCTTTGTGGCCCTCCTTTGGGCACTCTTTGAATAGTTTTATGTCTTTTTTATATTGTGGTGACAAAAACTGCTCACAGTGCTTCAGGTGATGCTGCAACAGCACAAAGTAGAGTCGGAGAAAGATTTGAATCATCTTGCTTGTATTAATTAAAGAAACTGGCAGCTTGCTTTAGTTTCAAGCATTCTCATGGAGAGACCCTTATCAATGAAAATTAGATCTTCTACATCTCCATCCACAACTGTTACTTTGCTTGCTTTTCCCTTTTTTTCTATTACATCCACTGTGATTTTACCAGTATAAGATCTATCCAATAATTCTAGAAGTTAAGAGAAAACTATTTTTTTTTCCCCTCAGGTCCTACACAATCTATGCTGATTAACAGGATTCTTCCATGGTTACTGTCTTTTTCAGGTAGATTAACTTATTTACAAATGTTCTGACCTGCTCAGTGTCAACAAAAGGACCAAACAAGGTTCTTATCTTCCCAGACTGAGACAACAAAGATGACAGATTCATTGAAAAAGGAGTAAATTATTTGCCAAGTACGAAACATTAAGCATGGGACTATAAGATACTATAGTCACGTTTCAGACTAGACAAAATGCTAAATATGTGGCAAATTACACTATATTTCAAATATGCTTGTTCCAAGACTTCGTAGTGTCACCTCTCATTGCATAGAAACTAGCCCAATATATCGTACTACTCAACTATAAAAATCACTGGAACATTTGCTGCCTTACAGTGAGCTCATATGTTACTTCTGTTTTCCAAAGATCTTATTTTCTGAATTCCTGACAAACATCCCCAGGACTTCAAAAAAATTGTTTACCTTTTTGGCTAGTTGAACAGTGCTGTATTTTTAGTGCTAGTATACTGCACCTTCACAGAACATGCAGTCCTTGTCTCTACACCAGGCACTGCATTTTGGAACATTCCTCCAAAGAAAACGTATTTTTTTAACATTTCTTTTGTCCCCTTTGCCTATTGCTAACTTTATGCCCTCTCCCATGCTGCTAAATATTCTTGGAACATATTCTCTCTACCTGCACACTAATTAAGCAGCTTGT